AAGGAGACAGATGCAATCTTTCTCCCTGTTCTGTGAGCAAAGTGCCAAGGTTTACAGAAGTGAAGCTCTCTATGATTATGTTATTAGTGAGCAGCAGGCCCAGGTTTGGAATACGGGCAGTCTTAGTGTGGTGCCTAATCTTAACCACTACACTGTTTCAAAACACAGTTTCCTCTATTCCCTTCTCAGAAGAGCAAGCTTCTGCTTGACAGGACATGGGCCTATACATGGCCGATAGCTCACCAAATGCTTCCTGTAGTTTTGTCTTGGACTTTCCAAATCCTTATTTTTGTTCTTAGTCCCATGTTGCTGAGTACAAAGTGGACAACCATATTTAAATAGCTCGTCACTTCTTCATAGGATTCTTCCTTTCCTCGTCATGGTGAGGGGCTCCTCCAGTGTTTGCTCTGCTGCAAACAGTACTGATCCTAAGAATTAGTTGGGAGCACCATAGACAACCAAAATAACAAGCAGGACCCCTCAGGGGGAAGGACAAGGAGCACTATGTGCAGATCACTTCCCAGTTTTAACCTCTATAACTGCTAACAGGTATGAGTTCTTTTGATGATCATTTTTGAAGAAAAGAAAAGAGCAAATAAAAAGCACAGAACAAGAGTGTGCTTCAACAGTGATGGTCAACCTAACAGAGAAAGGTCCAGCCAGGGCAACCTGGCAAGAAAAAGAAATGAAAGGCATCCAAATGGGAAGGGAAATGATGTCTTTACTTACATTTAACATGACTATATATAGAATAACCCATGTGTGTGTGTGCGTGTGTGTGCACACGCACACACCCCTAATGCTAATAAACCCAGTACAGTTATTATAGGGTCAACACACAAAATCAGTTGTTTCTATACCACTAATGAAATGAACAATACAGATAATTAAGAAACCAATTCCATTTAGAATAGCACCATAAGAATAAAATGCCTACCAATACACTTAACCAAGGAAATTGAAGACAACAAAAACACCAAATTTCTACAAAAATAAATTAAAATAAAATAAAATAAAAAATAAAAATAAATTAAAGTCCTAAGTAAATGAAAAGACTACACACTCATGGGTTAGCATGCTTACCATAATTCAGATGGAAATCTTTAAACAGTGTGTATATTCAATGACATCCCATTGGAAAAAGTCATTTTTTTTTTCAAATTCACATGGAATTTCAAGAGTCCAAGAATGATCAAAATAAGAACAAAGAATTGATACTTCTTGATCTTTAAAACTTAAAGCAAGGTTAATAAATCTAATAAGTCAATGGAAAAGAACTGAAAACCCAGAAATAAACTCTAATATTCTAGGCTAGGTGATTTTCAAAGAGGAAACTAAGAACATTCAGTGAGGAAATAATACCTTCTCAAAACGATGCTTTGACAACTGGTTAACCATAAAAAAAAGCATTGCTCTTTACCACATTGTATTTAGCAGTGGATTCAAGACTTGACGCCAAAAGTAGAGCCACACACACAAAAAAAAAACTACTTATACTAGTGAAGGCAAAAATGTAAAACTTTAGTGCATGGAAGAACACTATCAAAAATGAGAAAAAGTCAACATTTGGAAATCTCTAATAAAGGTTAAATACCCAGAATAGAGAACAGCTGAGCTAAAAAAAAGTGTTCAATATCATATCAATATATATATACCAGAGGCTAGAATTATGGTTTGGCAGTTAAGAGCACTTGCTGTTCTTTCCAGGATCTGGGGTTCAATTCCCAGCACCCACACACTGGCTCATACCTGCCTGTAACTCCAGTTCCAGAGGTCCCAATGCTCTCTTCTGGTCCCTGAGGACACCTACATGCATGTGGGTTCACAGATAGACAAGGAAGTACAACAATGCACAGAAATAAAAATAAATCAAAAAATTAAAAAGATTGTATAAATCAAAGCTACAGTAAGATACCACTTCATACCCTGTAGCATGACTTTAGTTAGGGGGGCGGGGAAAGTACAGGCCAGGTGTGGTGGCACAAATCTTTAATCACTTGGGAGACAGCCTGTTCTACATACTGAATTCCAGGACAACCAGAGCTACATAATAGAGGGACTCTGTCTCAAAAAGAGAGAGGGAGAGAGGGAGAGAGGGAGAGAGAAAGTTATAAGTGTTAGCAAATTTTCCAGCCACTTGGAAAATTTTGACAGTACATCAAAAAGTTAAACAGAGACTTATTCTATAACTTAGCAATGTTACTGCCAGGTGTATACTCAAGAGCAATGGAGAAATACATCTACAGAAACATCATTTCAGTAACGTTTCTACAGCAGCATTGTCCACACGAGGCAAAGGCTGAAACTCAATGTTCAATGAATGAATAAACCTACCGTGGAGATCTACTAACAGATACGACGAAGGAATGGGGGTGACTGTGTATGACTGGGTTGGAGGGAGGGGAAGAACATAAATTAGATACAGCAGCTGTGTCATATTGTGAATACACGGAATGCCACCAAATTATGCACTTTAAATTGATTGTTTATTACGTAAATTCCCCTTCAATGAAAAAAGCGCGTTGCATATGAGGGTTTGAAAAATAAATTTTAGCCTTCTCCTACTTTGTTTTGGTTCCTACATAATTTTTAAAGCCCCTCTACAAATTTAATATTCTTTCTTTATCCAACTCCTATGGCAAATTTGGATTCCTCTCTGGACGCTGTTAAAAATAACCTGTACCCACGTAAAGATGATGACTTTCCACTTACTTTTTATTCAGAGACAAATAAGTAAAAAGATCACTAGTGAATTCATAACATGAAAAGCTCAATAGCATGGGAATAAAACTTTCTATAGAAACCTCGTTATACTACAGCTTCAGTAGCGACTCAACCTGGGTGAGATTCCAGTCTTCAATGTCAAAGATTCACTTTTGGAATGTTTTAGAGATGGTTCCATGTGTGAAAAAGGTACCCTCCGAGTCTGATGACGTGAGTTTGATCCCCTGAACTAATATAAAAAACTGGATATTGTGGTGAGCTTCTGCAATCCCAGCACCTCTACAGCAAGATAGGAAACAGAGACAGGGGGATCTCCCAGCATCCTGGGGGCAGCTAGCTGGAATAGGTCATGCTGTAACAGAAAAAAATAGGGATCCTGCTTCAGTGGGTGAGAAATGGCTCCCCAAAGTTGTCCTCTGACCTCCACATGCACACTATACCCAACTCACATGCACACATGCACCTTAGTTCAAAAGGCTTCTTAAAATTGTTTTAACAAGGACTTAATTTCATTGGTAATCACCATTCAGAACTCTATTCTTCAGGGTTGTTTTTTTTTTAAAATAATTTTATTAGCAAATAAGTGTGAGAAACTAAATTGCTAGTTATGAATTCATAAGGATACGTTAATCAAATAATTTCAAGTTATTTTCACAAGAGAGGTTTTTATAGGGAAAACCATATAGCTGTTTTATTCAAAAATGAAATCTTTCTGGATTAGGTAAAAATATAAAATATGAGAAAAATATTATTTTTAAATAAACATTGACATCTTGCAGTTATGTGGTTCATTTTCATACAGCTAAGAAGAAAAAACCTTGTCCCAGAAGTCTCCGGGAATACGGCAAATAAGGTTTCCAAAATGCCTAGAATATAGCTTCTGCTCACCAGTAATGTTCTAGGGACATTTTAAATGGTGCTAAGAACCAGACACCAGCTGTTTTATTTCTTAGTTGTGAATATAATCAGAACACTTGAAAATAAGTAGACTTACCTCCTAATTAATCAGGACTGTAGGCACGGTACTTTAACTGTCAGTGCGTCTCAGCTGGTGGTCAATATTTTGTTACCTGGGGACCTCTGGCAGTGTCTAAGAAGTAATTTCTGTTGTTACATCCCCGAGTTACTGGCACTTACCGGTAAATGTCATGAACTGTGCTCATCTTCCTCCAACACAGGGCGGCCTCCCACAGCCAACATCACCGGCACAGATGTCAACCTTGAAGAACTTTGAGCTATATTAGTAGTCTTATCCATTTCCAGCCTAAAGTTTGCTAGCATTCCTTAGGACATTTTTCCTGGAGCTGTTTTTGTTTTTGATGTGACAAGCTAGCTACAAACCTGATTGGTGAGGCTAAGCATTGAGCCAGGCAATAAAATTCCAAGAGAAATAGACGTTAAAAAATTGATAAAACACTGGCAGAGAATGAAACGCAAGAAGATAGTGACCTCAGCCCTTAAACAAAGAGCTCATTACACATCTAGCCTTCTCCAACCTCAGACAAGGTTTGCCATCTAGTCAAGACGGCCTCGAATTTGTGACCCCTCCTGGCTAAGCCCCCCAGAGAGCTGGGGTTATAAATATTCACCACACAGCAGTTTTATTAAATAGTTTGAATTTGCTATCTTTGAGTAGCACAGATGATGAGTTATTTTCCATGTTCATGCCATAACTCCAGTTCTTATTGCCACTCTCCACAAGCACTGTGTGTGTGTGTGTGTGTGTGTGTGTGTGTGTGTGTGTGTGTGTGCTCGCGCGCGCGTGCACATGCTTACCTTTGCTGGAATATTGGGGTGTCTTTGGAAAAAGAAAGGCACAGAAATTACCTGTTTTTCTTCATACGCCTTCAAGGAATAATAATAATAATAATAATAATAATAATAATGCATAAAGGGAAATTTCAAAGTGGTTGAAAAATCAATGTAAGTCTAATTTCAAATCTGCTAACATATATTGTAAAGCACTTTAAGAGGCGGGTGGATCTCTGAGTTCCAGGACAGCCGGGATACAGAGAAACCCTGTCTCAAACACCCCCCAACACACACACCCACACACACAAAGAAAAGAATGCTTACTTCCCATTGGCCCAAGGAAAAAACAAGTGGGTTATATTTATATCTTATTTCTCCTTTACCTTTAATTACTTTTTAAAAAAATTTTTAGATTTCTAAGAAAAGTTTACAAAATACAAATCTTTACCTGAAACCTTAATACCACCCCCTGGAAGCTTAAAACAAACTCTAAGTTTCACAAAATAAATACACTGAAGCAGCTCTAACAGTAATAACCTTTATTTAAAATAGTTTTAATTTAGGAAGCTCAGTTTACACGAGTTTCCAACTAATTATTAGAATCAAAGACAAACAAACAAAAGGCAAAGGAAATCCTCTGTAGAAAAACACACAAGAACCTTTCTACATATGAAAAAGAGTAAACATTCCTGACAGCCAGACGGCCAGGGGCCCGCCCGAACGAACGAGAAGCCGCCTCTCCTAATGAACCCCGCTGTCCACCTTGAGGTCTGATTTGTTCTTCTCATTCTTCACCGAGTAGATGAAATACGTCAGGGTGTCTTTCTCGTTCACTGGAATAGACCGAAAGTGGCAGCCAACTATCTACAAAGGAAAAAAGGACCAATTAACTGTTGGATGCAGCAGGGGCGGTGAGCTGAGGGAAAGACACTGTTCTGAAAAGTGTTGCATGACCATGAGAGATAGTCTTTTAAAAGTTAAGCCGTTTTAACAAACTATCACCAAGCACCAAAGCACATTGAAAACAAAATATAATAAACAAAAGACAGTCTGATTTCAAAGGACCCGCTCGTCTATTCAATACGCTCTCCTTCTAAGTATGTTACCAGCTTTGGTCCACTCAACTAATGGGTACCGGGTCTGAGTTATTTTTCCCTTTAAACTTTACAACTTCAGTTTAGAAAGTGCCTACTTTTAAACATTAAATATCAGTGAGATAAAACAGAAGAGCTGACGTGCAGCACGAGGGAGAGTTTAGATGGTATCTTTGGTGCAACTGATTATTCATTCTTCCTAAGCGTCTTACAGAATTTTCTGAATAAAATGTAAGACTGGAAAATTAAAGGAGCTGGAGCTGTCTCTTCACTGTACAAATCTAACATGGGCACCAAAACTACGCAACACCTGAGTAAGACCAGGAGCTGCTCATGTATGCGCTCGGATTCTAGAGGCTGGCCTGTTTTTCTAGAACAGAAAAGAACTCTGAACTACAACAACTGTTTTTAGAAGACCCGACCTTAAAGGCTTGGGATTTGAGTTATATACTTAAAAACGATGTTTGCATCTGTTCTTGGCTCCTCTCTATTGAGAGGAGGGAACAGGGATGACTATACTACGTTAATATAGAGTATATTTCATCATAGTAGGGAAGGTCTTTATATTTATGGAGTGTGCCACAGAAAAAGGACTAGATCTTTCAAATAAAATTTAAAGAAAAGTTTTTTTTTTGTTGTTGCCTTGATAGGAAATATAGGAGAAAATCTGGCTAGTTAGCATACTGAATTTTAATAATATTAAAGAGCTTTCTACAAAGAATTGTAACTTGTATTTATCTTTTATTTAATATGTATATTAGAAATGTAGGCTATTAAAGTCAAGCTGAAGAACACGAGAAAACTCATGTAAATAAACACACACATATACACGGAGAGAGAGAGAGAGAGAGGGAGAGAGAGATTACTGTCCTATCTAGTCAGTGGAAATTTTTACTTAGATATAAAGTAAAATTATATAAATCTGTAAACATCTTAAAGTGCACAGATTTTGTGGCTCTATTACTCCTTGAACACACACAGACACACACAGAGCTAACTTCTAAACCACACTCAAGGAACCAAAGTCCTATACAAAACAAACTTCAAGGAAAACCTCGGATACAATCTTTGCTCTCCCCAGATGTAAAGAAAGCATCCTCTGCTTAAAAACAGCAGCTAACCTGAGAGTAAAGCCAGGAAGTTAGGAGAGCCTGCTTCAGGCACATCTGTGGGCCTCGTCCACAGAAACTTTACAAACCAGACTCGAATAAATGCTTGTGAGCTTTTTGATTTGCTATGCCTCAATTCGGTGTTTAATCAATATTCATTAAATAGAAATTTAAAACAGATTTCTAGAATTATAAGAACTTCCCACTGAATACTTATTCTGAAAAAATCACTATAAAAAGATGCTGTAAATGGACTTTTTTCTAGGTGGCAGACAGATGGTTTTAAACAACTATATTCTCCCACAATAGACCAATTGACTTTGACTTTCCTATGTGTAATGTACTATTATATATACTACACCTAGCTATTTCGTCATCATTTAATGACCCCTTGTTGGTGTGAACAGGTTGTTTAAACAGTATAAACTTATATATACCTCAACAAGTTGTGCTTTGTTAAGACCTGGTCTGGTTGGAAGCTTGAAGTGTCTTTTGTATCTTCTAAGTGTATTTACTTGTAATTGGTACAAATCAACCTAGAAAAAAATTAATATATCAATTAGTTCACTCTGCTAAAAAGATATCACTGATCTGTATGGCAAAGGGCACTTCGGCACAATAACAATTTCATTTACATAATTAGATCTATAGTTTCTTTAACCAGTTCTACCTTTTGGGGATACATAATAACAACTTTTAGAGGAAAAAAAAGGAAGTTGTATGTAAAGGGCTATAAGAATTGTCACCTGAGATTTAATACTAGTCTAAGTACATGTTAACTGATTGTATTTAATTTTGAGATTTCTCAGATGCTTTAAACATTTCAAATTTAGCCCAAATATTTACACAAAGGTTTTGGGATTGCCAGTATGCTCATGATTTACATATAACATAGAAAACTTTCATCTACCTCTGGAGTATCGACATCCTGAACAGGTGAATCTCCTCCATCATCATCGCTACCTTTCCTCTTTCTTCTGTTTCGAACGCTCTGGATTAAGTTTTTATGATAATCACAAATGTAGAGATGTCTTGCCTGAAACAGAAAAAGTTTCATGGACTGTGAGTACAGAAAAACACTTATCTCTGTCAGTAAGATTGCACAGGTCCAGGTGAACGGCAGAACATACAGTCTAAGCAGTCCACTGTTAAGACGATGGAATGTTCCTTCCCAATTTTAAACCCGGTACTCGCTATGACATTAGCAGACTGTCAATACTGTCTGGAAGGGAGGGGCTAGGAAGAGGTGAGTGGTACCACGGGAGAAGGCAGACAGGCAGAGGAAGAGAAATTCCAACCCTCTGGGTTTTGTCATCAAATTGCGTCGAGGGTGACCTGAATAAGTTAGCTCCTGCTGATTTTGACTTTACAAGGGGAGGTGTGATGTTGCCCACAATTCTGAACTTGATAGTATTTCCTTTAGTTCGAGAGCAGCAAATTATATTAATGTTAGGTATGTGCTTCTTAATCTTTCTAATTAGGTAGCCAAATTCTACACAGATACAAACTATGCATTTTTTACAAATGTGCTGCTGAGTTAATATCCTAATTATGTTTAAAGTGCAAGTACTAACGTTTCTTTTTAAGAATTAAATGAATGTATTTATCTGTATTGTGCTGTTTTCAATGAAAGCAAACAAATTATTCACGTTCCCTTGCAAAGTTCCTCATGCGCCCTACTGAAAAAACGGCTTAAACAGAATCACAAATAAACTTTTCAAAAAAATTAATTACATAGGCATTAGAAAGTTACATAGTGAACGATAAATACTGAGCTGATTGACAGTCTCCCCATCCCCCCTCCCCCTTTAAGGCTACAATTAAGGGCTGAATGAACAGGCTTTTATATTGACTTCTAAGCTAAGGGCAAGTTAAAAATATACAGGATGTGTGGAGGGTCTGTATCTCGTTCTCCATGCCATCAGTCAGAGCTCTGAAAAGTAGCAATGGATCTCTCTGAAACCTCATAGCTGGCCAAAAGAGCAGACGTGCATAAAAAAACGGGGAAAAAAGAAATCCCGATGGCGGTCGAGCGGGCTGTAAAACCGCAGAGGCTCGTTTGCAGCCTGGGTTTGGAGCAGCTGCCCGAAGGAAGAGCTGACACCGCAGACGCCGTTTACAACCACCTCCCAGTAAGGCATTGCCGAGCTCCGCTTCCCTCTCGGGGTTCAAGAGAAAGAGAACACTGAGAGGGGAGAAAGAAAGGAGGATTTCCCTTCTCTGCGGCGTGGGGTCCTGCCAGACTCTACTTTCCCTAAAGGAGCGGTGCTACTCCCTGGGGCCAGACGCTGGCTCCGGGCAGCAAAACAAAGGCGCCTCCATTCCAGAAGGGGCTACCCGGGCTACAAGAAAAACTACTCTGGGCCCTCGGTGCCGCGGTCCCCTTTGTTTCGTTTCCACATCGCAGCCAAGGAGGAAGAGGGAAGCCTGGCGTGGGAGAGACGCGAGGCAAGGGGGAGTCCGGGTGAGGGGCGGAGGGGACCCGCACCACCGCGCGAGCGAGCGAGCGCGCGCGCGCGCGCTGGGGGAGGTGGCCGGAGTTGCAGCGACTTTGTTTCCATCGGGAGAACCCGCTAATCCCACCGGCAGCCCAGTCCCGAGGACTCGTGAACCCCGCCAACGACCCGGCTGGGCAAGCAGGGTTAGGTAGGGCAAGGGCAGGACAAGGCAGGGCAGGGCAAGGCAGGGCAGGGCGGTCCCGCTGCCACTTACACTCTTATCCAGCTCGATCTTCACCTTCTTCTGCGAGATGCTCTTCTGGATCCTCTTGCTGAAGCTGGCGTTGCCCGCCGCGCGCCCGCACCGCTCGCCGTCCTCCCGCAGACAACAGAGTTGCCCGGGGCCCGGACCCGCCGCTCCGGGGGGGCCAGCAGCCGACACCGCACCGGCACCGGGTACCTCTGCCCCACCGCCCGCCGCGTTCCCATTCCCCGCCGAGGCGGCGGCCGCTGCAGCGGCGACCACCGCGGCCACGGCGGCGGCCGCGTCCCCGCCGCGGCTCATCTCCTCCGGAGTGAAACCGTTCATGTCTGCCAGCTCGGGGGCGCCGGCGCCGCCGCTGCCGCCACAGAGCCCCGCTCGCCGCGCCGCTCCGCCTCCTTCCCCCCTCCGGGCAGCCGTTCACTCCGCACCCCAAGTGTGGCGGCGGCACGGTCCGATGCTCAGCGTCCCCGGGGCCTGTCGGTCTGTCGGCGCGGGAATAGTGGCCCGGTTTCCGGGGGGGCTGTGATCAGGAGTGGAGTGGCTCCGTGGAAAGGGGACCCCACTCACTGTCACATGGAGACTTCAGCAGTTGGACCGCAGCTCCACCGCCTCCTGCCAGCCCCCAGGATCTGCGCGAGTGAGACGCCCCGCCCCCGGCCCCGCCCCTCCACTGCCGCGCGGCCCCACGGGAATAGTAGTTCTCGGTCGCGGAGCCAACTTGCGCTCCGTTCTGATTACGTGGGCCGGACGGGCTGGACGAAACTACTCCTCCCAGCATGCATCGCGCGGCGAGCCACCCCCATGAGGGTTTTTTTTTTTTCCATTCCAAGCACCGGGCAAATCCGAGTATGAGGTCAGGCTTTACTGTGTTTTCTTGCCTCTTTTCTCTCCTGCGAGTAAGGGCTGTCTTTTAGCTCCTGCTATTTCGCCCAGTTAGTGTTCAGACGGCCAGCCGACTCCTGGGAAGAAGCATAAATTGTGTGTTGTATGTGGTGGGGTACTAGGGAATAAGTGAGAAAAAGTTGAGGGGCTGTTTCGTATTTATGGGGAAAAAAAAAAAACCAACTCGGGCGATCTGGCGCTCATTAGGCGCTGGGTCGTGCATCTCCATCTGCACGCCCCAGCGGACTTCTGGAGCGTGGCAGGCCCTCGGCACACTCGTGTGCCAACCGGTTGACAGGCACCGGGCTGCTTTTCGCCTCTCCGGCCCCTTGAGTTCCTTTCCAACGGATCTGAGAGAGGAGGGGTTTAAGATTTAAAGGAAACCCCACTGCTGCCGGGTCTGCAGGACTGCTCCTCCGAAACTTCGCAGCGCTGGCTGTTTCTTGAGCCGTACACATGCGTACATGCATGCTTGTGTGTGTCGCGGGTGTGCGGGTGTGTGTGTGTGTGTGTGTGTGTGTGCACGCGCGCGCGCGCACGGGTACGTGTTTGTGCTCGCGTAAGCCTGTATTCCTGCCTGAGCCTGTGGTGGGCGGGGTGGAAAGGATGGGCGTGGCCATGCCAGCCCGGCACCTCTGCTAATTATTGGACTATTTAGCAATCCCACTGATTAAACAAGAATAATGTATTTCAGGTAGAGGAACTTTAAAAGGAAGAAGCCCTTTTCGACTTAGTCAATTGACTGACAGATTTTTTTTTTAAACTGACATTTACGGAAAAACTCAAAGCTATCCGTGTTACCTGTGAATTTCTATTTTCAGATATAGCAGTGAAAATTAGTGAATACATTTTCGTTGTTTAAAAATGCTAATTTTTATCTCGTACTTGTTAAATCATAAATTAATATGTTTAATCAATTATTAGAAAATTCTAGGCTCTCCATGCCTTCCCATGTCATTTCGTCCATCTCTGGGACTCCGATTCAGTACACATTAGGCCTCCAACTGTATCCAAAGCCTTCCCTTCAATGGCTTTGCTTTGTTTTAAATTTCCTTTGGATTCCTTTAACCTGATCTTAGTCACACATTCTCTGTTTAGGTGTGCCTAATCTGCTCTAAAATTCACCCATGATTTTTGGGCTTTGTTATACTTCTTAGTCTTATAATTCCTGTGTGTTTTTTTTTTCTCCAAATCTTAAATGTCACCAATTTTCCAGTCCTCTGACAAAATTTAGAAGTTTGACTTTTTCTTCAATAAGCTTTGCAAGGACAGTGATTTTTTTTTAGACTATGTGTATTAAGTCTCTTTCACTTGTCTATTGTTTCTGGTGATGATGACTCACACCTGACTCTTCTTCAATTCATTATCTTTGGTCTCCTTTCATTTTATTTGAAAAAAAATAATTTGAATTATGCTCTTACAGAGTAGCTTCATCTTCTTCTCTCTGGTGCTGAAAACCCTTAACTAATTAATGCCCGAGGGCTTAGTAGACAAGTAGATGATACTCTAACTCATACTCCCATTGTGGGGCTGTGGTTCTTGCCCTACCGTGAGTTACTTAGTTATTGTAGTGCCAAGAATTGAACCCAGAGCTTTGTGCATGCTAAGTGAATGTCCTACAACTGAACTACAATCCCAGCCCAAGAAAGACCTTCTACAGTTCCTGTCCTTAATGCAGACTACTGTCCAGCCCTCTGACTAACAAGTGCGCAGCTTTGCTCTTCCTGAGCTCTTAAGTTCATTAGTCAGCCTGACACAGACCTAGACACACCCAGAAAGAAGGAATCTCAATTGAGGAATCACCTCCACTGGACTGGTCTGTGGGCCTTTCTGTGGGGGCGCTTTCTGTGTTGTTGATTGACATGGGAGAGCCCAGGCCACCGTGGATGGTACTATCCATGTAGAAGTGGGTAGCTGGGGATGCTAGGGGAAGCAAGCCAGTAAGCAGTGTTTCTCTGTGGCTTCTGCTTGAGTTCCTGCCTCAGTCTCCCTGGATGACAGACTGGAATGTGCAAGCCAGGTGAACCTTTTCCCCAGGTTGCTTTAGGTCATGGTGTTCATCACAACAGAGAAGCAGCTGCTATACCCAATTGTACCAGTATTGCATCTGTTAAAGCAGCACCCCCATTTTCATATGACCTATAGTTTAACTTTTTGCTCAGCTCTATCTGACTTCTACCAGGATTTTATTCTTCTCAATATGAAGTCACCGAATGCTGGAATTTGCTCCGGATACAAAATTATTTGTGGCTAACTATCACAAAACAGTATTCATTAAAAAAGAAATGTAATGTCACTTAAAATCCCTGGGACCCCGAGTTAAACACACAAATCTAAAGATTTGATGCTAAGATACACATGTGAGTGAGAAGATAACAGTGTTGTCTTTCTGGGTCTGGGTTACTTCACTCAGTATAACATTTTTCCAGCTCCCTCCATCTACCTGCAGATTTCATGAGGTCGTTTTTCTTTACAGCTGAATAAAATTCCATTGTAGATAGGCATCATATTTTCGTCATCTCTCATCAGCTGATGAATATTTAGGCTGTTTCAGCGTCTTAGCAGCTAAATGAACATGGGTGAATGTGTGGTCACTTAGCAGAAAATAGGGTTCTTGGGATAGATGCCCAGGAGTGATGTATGAGCTCATAGGGTAGGTCTATTTCTAGGTTTTATTTCTGAGAAACCTCCACATGATTTCTACAGTGGCTGCACCAGTTTCCACTCTCGCTAACAGTGCACGAAGGCCCCTCTTTCCCCTCTTTCTTGCCAGCATTTGTTGTCCTTTGTTTTCTTAAGCCATTCCCACAAGACTAAGATGAGATCTCCAAGTAGCTCTAAGTTGCATGTCTAGAGCTGAGGACGGTGACCACTTTTAAAGATATTTCTTAGCCACTTTGCATTTCATCTTTTGAGAGCTCTGTTCAGTTCTACATCCCATTTTTTTTAAAAAAAAAAACTGGTTTGTTTTTTTCTTGGTGTTTAGATTTCTTGAGTTCCTTGTATATTTCAGACATGCGTTTTCTGTCAGATGTTTATCTGGCAAAGACGCAAAAAAAATTTTTTTGCACCCATTTTATAGGCTGCCTCTTCAGTCGGTTAAGTTTTTTTTGTAGTACAAAAGCTTTTTAATTTCATGATGTCCCACTCGTTGACTGTCAGTCGTATTTGCTGGGTGACCAGAGTCTGCAGAGAGTTAAGTGTTGCTAGAGTGCTCAGCCACAAATGGGATGGGATGTCTGTGTGTGTGTGTGTGTGTGTGTGTGTGAAAGAGAGAGAGAGGGAAGGAAGGAAGGAAGGAAGGAAGGAAGGAAGGAAGGAAGGAAGGAAGGAAGGAAGGAGGGAGGGAGGGAGGGATGAAGGGAGGGAGGGAGCTCAGGATCATCTTAGTTGAGCGGGTAGAAAGACTGTAAAAGCCTGAGGTTGGAGAGGACTAACCGTGTTTAACAGTGTCTTCTGTACATGACAGGACCACTGCAGTCAGAGCCCACAGCACCTGTGGTCGCTTGAACGAGACCAGCACGAGACCAAGCCAGACAGCATTCGATTGATCGTGGAAGGTGAAGGGGCTCACAAGCCTCCTCCCCTGAGGCGCTGTGGACAGGCGAAGGCTTCTGAGGGATGGAGAGTCCATTTACTTTAAGGATATGGTTGACATAAGGCTATGTCTGTCAACCATGCTGTGGTGCATGGCCCTACCTCTGGGAGTATATGGGGAGCATAAATTGAACAGGAAAGGTTATAAAAAGGAAAAAAGAGAACATGAAGTTGGGGGCGGGGCTAAGGAGGTGAAGATGGATCTAAAAGGAGTTAAGGGAAAGAATGACATTTGAATATGATCAAAATACATTGTATGCAATTCTCAAATAATTACTAAAATCCTGCCTGCAGTTTTATTTATTTTGAGACAGGGTCTTACTGTATAAATCTTATCTGTCCTGGAACTCACTCTGTAGACCTGGATGACCCTGAACTCACAGAGATCCACCTGCCTCTGCCTCCCCCCAAGTGATGGGATTAAAGACTTGTGCCACTATGCCCAATTATAAATTTTAAAAAAATTTTCCCATCACCAAGGCTCAAGATATGGCACAGCAGTTAAGAGCATTAGCTGTTCTTGCAGAGGTCCTGGGTTCAATTCCCAGCATCCATAGGAAGGCTCACAACCATCTGTAATTCCAGTTTCAGGGTACACAGCGCCCTCTTCTGGCCTCTCCAGGCATTGCAAATACGAGGTGCACAGACAATCAAAACACATGCCATCAAAATACCCGTACAAATAAAATAAAAATGAAGAGGAGAAAAAAAAATCTGAAAGACCCAAACCAGGAACTCTTGGAATATTCCGTGTATTTGTTATTTTCTTTACTGCTGTAACAAAATGCCTGACCAAAGCAACTTAAGAAAGATGTGGTGGCTTGGATGAAAAATGGGCATCTACTTGCAAGCTTAGTCCCTAGTTGACGAATTATTTGGAAAGGATTAGGAGGTGTTGGAGGAGGAGGTGTGTCACTAAGGGAACTGCTCTGAGGTATCCAAAGCTCATGCCAGGTCTCGTGTTTCTCCCTGCCTGCTGCCTGTGGATCAGGATGTAAAGCCCTCAGCTACTTCTCAAGCAGTTCCCATCCCTGCTTGGGAACCACCATGCTCCCCCGCCGTGATGACGATGGACTGACCCTCTGAAACTGTAAGCAAGCCCCCGATGAAATGTTTTTCCCTTTTAAGAGTTGCCTTGGTCTCGGCGTCTCTTCACAGCCATAGGACCCTGACGAAGTAAGGTTTATTTTGGCTTACTGTTACAGAGGGTATGCGGGAGGGTAGGGAAGGGCAGCAGGATGCAGATGGTGCTCAGTGCATTGCGTCTGAAGTCAGGGAGAAGAGTACCATGGATCCTTGGGCTCGGCTCACTTTCCCCTTTTTATTCAGGCCCAGGACCCCAAACTCTAGAACAGTACCGTTCACAGGTGGGTCTTCCCATTCAATTAACTGACTCTAGATAACACCTTACAGGCATGTCCTGAGCCTACCCTAATCTAGATAATCTGTCACAGCTTTGTCCTCCAGGGAAGTCTACTTCCTATCAAGTTGACCATCAGTATTAATCATCATATCTTCCCACTCATAGTTCACTTACATTGAAATCAGGCCCTCTTAAACCTGTCTGCATAGTATTCCAGCAGCTTGGGCTCACGAGAAACTTCTCGACAAATCTTTTCAGTGCCATAACAAAATGTTGCTATGTATTGAAGAGCCCTCCCAATTTAACTTTAAAAAAGAAACCTATTGCTGCCGGGCGGTGGTGGCGCACGCCTTTAATCCCAGCACTAGGGAGGCAGAGGCAGGCGGATCTCTGTGAGTTCGAGGCCAGCCTGGGCTACCAAGTGAGTTCCAGGAAAGGCGCAAAGCTACACGGAGAAACCCTGTCTCGAAAAACCAAAAAAAAAAAAAAAGAAAAGAAAAAAAAAAAAGAAACCTATTGCTATGATGCTGTTAACAATTCTCTACACAGTCTACTTGTGGAGTATTCTGACGTAGCTTTATGGTCAAGGCAGGTATGTATAATTGACTCTAATTAAGCCACTTAGAATTATAATGTTCATTATGTGGAGTCAGTAATCAGAGCATTTCAGAGAGGTCCTCCATATCGTGAAAACACGTGCCGGGGAGTTGAATTAAGTCCGATGCCCTGGTTCGGATGTGATTTTTCTCCAGATTTGTGTATTAGAAGCTTGGTCTCCAGTGTGGCAATTGTCAGCACCTGGTGGCACCTTTAGCCTACGGGGACCAGTGAGAGGCCACCAGGACACGGCCCTGAGAAATTAGCTCTCTTGCCAGTGATCTGTTAGAAAAAGAACAGGACTGCCCTGGTCCATTTCTTTTGCTTTCCAGATTGTTGTGGAATGGCTCCTGCCATTGTGACGTCATGAGGGCCTGACCAGAGCAGAGCCAATGCTTGATGTTAGGCTCTCGGAGAGCCTTCTGGATAAAGCATCCTTTATAAGGTACTCAGCCTCCACTATTAGGGAGTGAGCTCCTCCAGAAAGGCATTACTGAGGAGTTAAGTCATTGCCACAACTATGCTTGAAAACATGGAAGCTATTTTAGAAATATATATATATTTCTAAATATATATATATATATATATTTAAAATAATATAAGTGTATAATATAATAATATAATATATTATTATATTGTATTATATTATATTATTTTTATTATATTTATATCATATATATTATATATAAAATATATTTATATTATATTTTTATATTATTTATATTATATTATAAATAATATAAATATATAAAATAAATTTAATGAAAATATTTTTATTATATATATTTATGTTATATATAAATATAGATAATAAAATATATTAAATATATAAATATAGATAATAAAATCTAAATATATATATTTAAAAATATATATATTTCTAACATGTATGGAGCGGAAACGTTTGGAGGGATACTTAGAAATGGCCTCGAGTGCTGTAAGAGGTTTACCTGTGATGCTGGAGAGGCACGGTGGTGAGGAGCCATGCTTGTTACACTGTTCACACTACTGGAAAGGAGTTGACTGCATTGTGTCCACATCCCAACACTTTCCGGAAGGGCCCGGTGTAAGAGTTACTTTGTTAGGAAAACATTCAAAGTATCAAAGCACTCAGTAAGGGCCTTAGGACTGACTTTGGTCAGATTTACAGTGAGGCATGGGAGCAAAAAGGTAACAGGTTTTGAATATGCGCTTTTCCGACACGTTTTCAAACGTGGCAAGGGAGGAGAAAACGCCTAGCAGCACAGCTGAGCTGCTCCTTGCTGAAGATAATAGCACAGTAAAAAGGGAGCAGGCGCTATGTGTCCAGTTCAGTGGGAAAGAGTGAGATGGAGCGGCAGAAAGCTGGGAGCCTGCCTTTCCCACCAGGAGCTTGTGCATAGGCTTCTGGGGAGCAGGGGGCACAGAATGCTCCAGGAATGAGCCTAAGGCCACCTTCCACATGCTCAAAGCCCAGGACCCACTTGGTGGCCATATGGCCACCATGATGCTGTCCCCACTGGGCCGGTTCTAGGCATGTGGAATGTAAGTTATGGCATCATAGCAATTTCCATGGCAATTTCAAAGGAGATCCTGTGAGGCTGGACAGAAGTTTGCCACAGGGTCAGAGCCCGTGAAGAAACTTGGCCACTAGAATGTGTCACGGAGCCCAGGAAGGCAGAGGACTCGGTGGCGTTGCAGGACGGACTTCGTTAAGCCTCAAACATTAACCTACTACCTGAGAGAGAACCCACGCTTAGTTTAGACAGAAGGGAATCTGGAAGGATTAAAGTTACGTCAGCTACTTCTAATTTCTGATGAGTTAGTATCTTGAAATAATGTACTCCAGAAGTACATTATTGTACTTGCCTTAGAGTTGCTATGCTATGCAAAAAGAATTTTAAAATGTTCTTTAAAAGCTTAGAAATCATGTCAGGCTGTAGTGGCACACGCCTTTAATCCCAGCACTTGGGAGGCAGAGGCAGGCGGATCTCTGTGAGTCTGAGGCCAGGCTGGTCTACTGAGCGAGATCCAGGACAGGCTCCAAAGCTCCACAGAGAAGCCCTGTCTCAAACAAACAAACAAACAAGCTCAGAAATCAGGAGCTGGTGAGGTGAGTCTGAGGTTAAGAGCACTTACTGTTCTTCCAGAGGACCTGAGTTGGATTTCCATCACCCACAAGGTGGTTTACAATAGTCTGTAACCAGTTCCAGGAGATCTGACGCCCTCTTTTGTCTCTGAGGGCACCAAACATACATGTAGTGCACAGACATATGTGCAGGCAAAACACCCAACATGTAAATAAGTAAATCTTTTAAGAAGTTACAACGCACTGGCTGTATACAATGACACTTGTCTAAAAGTATTATTACACTGTTTTTTTGATATAGTAAGAAGACTAATAGAAGGTACTCCTTTTTTCCAGTTCTCCTGTTCGGACACAAGGCATTGCTTATGCTATGCAATCACTCTGGCTCTGAGTTACATCCCTGAACTTTGAGAAGATATTCTTATTGGCTCAGTAAGTAGATAATGTGAGTTTTCTGATTTTCTTGACTTTCCCCGCATGATGCTGAGAGCACCATTCTCGTTCATGCTGAATTCTCTACCAACTTTGTATAATCAAAGTACTTTTAAAAGTAGAAATGAAGGCCTGGAGAGATGGCTCAGAGGTTAAGAGCACTGGCAGCTCTTCCAGAGGTCCTGAGTTCAATTCCCAGCATGCACATGGTGGCTTAGAACCATCTATAATGAGATCTGGGTGCCCTCTTCTGGGGTGTAGGAGTATGTACAGACAGAACATTGTATACATAATAAACAAATCTTTTTTAAAAAGTAGGAATGAGCCGGGCAGTGGTGGTACAGGCCTTTAATCCCAGCACTCAGGAGGCAGAGCCTGGTGGATTTCTGAGTTCGAGGCCAGCCTGGGCTACAGAGTGAGTTCCAGGACAGGCACCAAAACTACACAGAGAAACCCTGTCTTGAAGAAAAAAAAAAAAAAGTAGGATGAAGGAGAGAACGGTCATTAAATAGGTGATTAAGAGTATTCTCTACAATACTCTTAATTTTTACCAGACTGATAAAGGAATAGAACAAGACAGCGCTACTTTAATTTTTTCACAGAGATGGAAATGTTTAGTTTAGTAGAAATGATTTATTGTCCATAATTAGCTTAAAAGCGACCCGTTAACCTAGCAAATAATGTGTTCTGTTGTTAAATTGAAATTTTTCACCCAGTATTTTAGTCATTGACATTTTGGGGGCCAGTGGCCCCGGACCTACAGAGAATATAAAAACACAACACATATTCCCAGTCGTCAAGAAACTTTTAAGCAAGAATTCTTTCTACCACACACTCTCCTTTGTAAAGCTCTGTAAGCGGTTTTAATGCTTTTGAAGTTCACAAGTTTTTTAGGCAGAGGAAATTTCTATCTGATAAAGAAGCTGAGCGTGGTAGACATGCGGCTCCTTACCCACACCGCCGCCGCCTCTCTAGCCTAGACTACTCGGACGCTCCCTCCTGGCCCTGGGGACTTTTTCCTAAGTGGAAGAAGGCAGCGCCACCGCCCAGGTCAGGGCAATTTGGAAATGTCTAAGAATGAACTCCCTCCCACGCGGGCAGCCTTCCTCCAGTACAAGATTGGTTCTGCAGATCATCCGTCTCTCTTGCTTCTTGGGGGGGATAACTCCGAGGCTCCTGCTTTACGCCGGTTCCCAGCATTTTCCCGTGAGACTATGTTCAGGTCGTTAGCCGTGGTAGCCGGCTGGATGGCACACCCCTTATTGACTGCTTTCCCCTCTTTGTCTCGCTTCCCCACCTCCCACCGGTGTTTCCTGAATCCCTTAGATAAACGATCTGCACTAAAATCCTTGTCTCGAGGTTCTAAAGGGCGTTTCCACTCAGTTACTCACCTAATACCTGCCCCTTGGCTAAAATACTTAGTTGAGTGTGTGGGCCGGTGATTTCAGAAAAGCCAGCTGGAATCCTTCCCAGGGAGTTTTGCCAACCTGGAAGACGGAGTTTGGGGCTCTCTTTTCTGTTAACATTTTTTCTGTTTTGACCGGGTCCCATTCATCCTACATCCAAACGGACCACCGCCTGGCACAACTTCACCTTTGCAGAATACTTAATGAAATAAATTCTTGAAATGTCTTGGCTGCCCACCTGCATAGGTTGTCAGCCATAGACTTAAAGATTATGCAACCCTGTGGTTTTAGCATACCACAGTGTCGTAGCCTGTGACGGGAGAGAGAAGCAGAAACTCGGGAGCCGGGTTACTTGGGACTTGAATTCTGTCACGCGTCAGTTGTTTGGGCTGTTGTTTACCAGTTCCATTCCAGTCTTATACTCTTGTATACCGTGGACTACTGGTGTCCTCCAAAGCATTTCCATGACTCACTTGTTAACTGATTTCCAGGTCACCTCTGATAGGAGAATAAAAGGCAAGTGGGGACAGGCGACATTTTCCCCTTCTGGCTCCAATAGTCTCAGCGATGCTGTGCTTTTCCACCTTGGCGCTGCCAGTGGCAAGACGCAGGGTGACGGCTGCTGGGCTTCCTGCAAAGCAGCTGCCAGAGGCAGTCTGAATGATGTTCCACTAACCCCTCAGAAGCTCCAGATTTGTGGGTATGGATACCAGTGTTTCACTTTGCTTTTCCTAGGGCTAGGAGAGCGGCTGCTGTTTCTCAACATTGCGTGAGCATCAAATGTGAGCATCAGTAATTCAAAGTTACCTCTGAGGAACAGCAGCTTCCTCCTCCTCCTTCTCCTCTAACTCTTCCGGTTCTTTCATCCCGATTCCACCAGTCATCAAGGTCAGTGTATTCTCTGAAATATCTAAAGTGACTTTGGTTTTCTTAGTTGAAGCCAGACGAATACTGTGGTCTTGGGCGAGCGCTTGCTCTTGGCACCAGCTGACTGCCAGAAAATAAAGGTAGTGACCATGCACTTACCCGTCTCCTAGGTGTTTTTATGAGCGTCGAGGGAGCATATGCCCTGAGTGCTTAAAACAGTCCGAAGCATGCCGGTTGGTGGTGGCGGCACACGCCTTTAATCCCAGCACTCGGGAGGCAGAGGCAGGCGGATCTCTGTGAGTCTGAGGCCAGCCTGGTCTATAGAGTGAGTTCCAGGACAGGCTCCAGAGCTACAGAGAAACCCTGTCTCGAGAAGCCAAAAA